TCGAACCCGCGACCCGCAGATTGCGAGTCGAGTACCCTAACCACCTGGCCATGCCGAGCCTAATTGTAAATCTCTAGACGTGGGCTTCTTAAATGGTTTAAAGGAAAATGAAAGATAATACTTCTAGTTAATAAACTCTCTAATCACATTGTTGTTCAATGGATTAAAGGCATGTGAAATGCATAAGGTTTCAAGTAATAAAATTACAAGTCGTGATTTTGTTGAATGGATTAATGGATAATTAGATATATAAGAGATCAAGTAATAAAATCTTACAGTAATGATCTCGATAAATGGTTTAAAAGAAAATGAAATGTATAATATTTGAAGTAATAAAATCTGAAATCATGATCTTGTTGAGTGGTTAAAGTTAAAATCCAATGTATAACATTTTCAGTAATAAAATTCCCAGTCATAGTCTTGCTAAATGGCTTAAAGAAAAATACAGTGCATAAGATTTTAATAAATAAAATATCTAGTCATAATCTTGTTGAATGTTTTAAATAATAATTATATTTATAAGATTTCAAGTCATAAAATATCTAGTCATAATCTTGTTGAATGTTTTAAATAATAATTATATTTATAAGATTTCAAGTCATAAAATATCTAGTCATAATCTTGTTGAATGTTTTAAATAATAATTATATTTATAAGATTTCAAGTCATAAAATATCTAGTCATAATCTTGTTGAATGTTTTAAATAATAATTATATTTATAAGATTTCAAGTCATAAAATATCTAGTCATAATCTTGTTGAATGTTTTAAATAATAATTATATTTATAAGATTTCAAGTCATAAAATATCTAGTCATAATCTTGTTGAATGTTTTATAGTTAATTAAATGTATAAGGTTTATAGAAATAAAATATCTTGTCATGATTATGTTGAATGGTTTAAAGGAATATGAAATGTATAACCTTTCAAGTAATAAAATATCTAGTCATGATCTTGTTGAACGGCTTGAGGAAAATCAAAGGCATACGATTTGAAAGTAGTAAAATATGAAGTCATGGTCTTGTTAAACGTATTAAAGGAAAATGAAATTTATAAGATTAATAAATAAAATCTCTAATCACGATCTTGTTTAATAGTTTAAAGGAGAATGAAATGCATAAGATTTCTAGTAATAAAATGTCTAGTCATTTTCTCGTAGAATGTTTAAAAGAAAAACTATATGTAAAATATTTAAAGTAAAAAAGTTTCTAGTCATGATCTTTTTAAATTAACAATTTTTAATAATCTGGTTTCTTTAGCTTTTATGTCCATCATGGACATAAATCTGTATAATATCGATACTGCCCTATTTGAAAAAGTTTAGATTAATGAAATATGTAGTTGGCATATGATGCTCTCTCGGGAAACTATGACAACCCTTGGATTGACTTTATGCAGATTGGATGGTTATTGCTCCCTATATCATTGCCATAATATCATGATTAACAATGGAACTACATATATAATCACTACGATGCATATGTATACAAAGAAACGTTTTTAATATTTCTTATAGCTGTTATATTTCTCCTCTCTGCTGGCCATATTTCCTCTTAGGTCGAAAACGTGTTAATTAACAATTAAGAGTTGATTAGATTAATATACTCCCACCCTCTGAAACTAAATATTTTCTAAATAAAATATATAGCTATAAAATTTCTGCTTCACTTTCACTTAGATTTCCCATCTCCTGCTTGCACGAATTTTGCCAGTCCTTAATAGTCCAGCTTCAACGATGGCTACTCTATGTGCAGTATCTATAAGATAAGCAATCAGGCGGTGTGTGCTATAATTCGACACTTAGGATCGGCAATCATCGTGATTGCCGATCCGATGCTCCAAACTGAGCGTGATGTTATCTTTTAAACTACAATTTGAAGATATCTGTTGTGGGAGACTACCTGATACTGTTCATGATGATTTACTGTAGCTATTGACTATTTGATCGCATTAGTTCGAGATGTA